AGAGGCACAGAAGGAGCTGGGAAATGATGCCAATACAATACTAATATATGAAAGCTTCAAAAAATAAAATATATTTGTACAATTGTGCTGTGCAATGGCATCAACATCCTCTCACACACTTCCTATGCCTTTATCTCTGTAGGAAGGAGAATCCCAGAAGCAGAATGGCTGCTCAGAAGTACATCACTTAGATATTAATTGTTGCTGCCAGGTTGATTTCTATAAAGAGTCAGTGAGTAAATGATGTATTCCCACCAGCAGTGTGCATGCCCATTTCCTGTAACAATGTCATCGTTTTTAAGCTGTACCAATCTGAAAACTTTAGAACTTAATTTTAACTGCCATATTAGAAAGTTTAATTCTCTTTTCAGAGATTTCTTGGCCCATCTGATTTGCCAATTTATGTGCTTGACCCACTTTTCTACTGAATTACTTATCCTCTTATTCAATTGCTTGTAGGAATCCTATTCATGTTATAGATAATTCAGCTTCTGTGCAAATACTTTCCTAAATCCATTCATTGCTTACCGGATTTGTTTATAGTATCCATACTATACAAATAATAAGATGTTTATGTAGTAAAAATGAGAAATAATAAAATAGTAGCTAAAAACAACAAGAACAGAAAACACTATTTAACCGCATCTACATCTTTACCTTTAAATAGTTAAAATGCCAGACCAACATTTCTATATAATGACTGGGTGAGTCATGCCACAGTTGCTTGCCAAATTAAAACAGAAAAGGATAGAAGAAAGAAGCAAGTGTTTTCTTAAATCTTCAGTTTAAGAAATAAAAGCTTAATGAAAGGAAGGAGAATTTGCATTTGAGGAAAAAAATTCTTTGAAGTAGTTCAGTGACAAGTTAAATACATTTCCTGCTACAAATTTGTGAATTATGTTGATGTCATTTTCCAGGAGGAATGTAGTATTCATTGTTAAAACAGTAACAGAAGAGCCTATTACTTTCAAAGTAATAAAACATGCATCATTTTAATGTTCATGGTGTTTTTTTAATGTAATTTATTTACTTTTACTTTATGAGCATTGATTCATGTTTTGCCTACATGAATGTCTGTGTGAGGGTGTCAAATCCCCTGGAACTGGAGTTACAGATAGTTGTGATCTGCCATGTGGGTGTTGGGAATTGAACCTGGGTCCTCTGTAAGAGCAGTCAGTGCTCTTAACTGCTAACCCATCTCTCCAGCCCCCAGTGTTTCTTATTTTGATAAATGTGGCATGATGGGGTTCTTCATTGCTTCACCCTCCTTTATCACTGATTGATTCTATGACGGTTTTCCAGCAAAGCTGGACCCTGAGAGATATTCATTGTTAGCCCTTGGATTTCTTTATCCCACAATGAAGGACCCAGAGAGATGGAGTGAGGATGGGTTGGAACAGGCCTGGGTTCCTGGTCCAAGCCTCTCCCATGTGCCTCTGAATCAGCCATCCCACGGGAAAGGGGAATTATTGTTGCCTTTAATAGATTTACTGAGACTTAACTGACATACCAGAAATTTGATGTTTTAAAGGTGAAACTCAGTGGTCCTTGATATTTTCACGGGACAGTGTAAATGTCGCCACTCTCTGATTTCAGAGCTTCCATGACAGTCACTCCCATTCCACCTCCCTTCGCATCCCTAGACTCCGACCACAGCCAATCTTTCCGTCCCTGTCCCCATCCCCCCATCCCTCCCCCCCTCCCCGCTTTAAGATTACTTGTTTGAATTTTACATGTACAGGGGGTATTTTGGCTCCATGAATGTCTGTGTGCCATGTATTTGCCTGGTGCCCTTGAGGGTCAGAAGAGGGGGTTGGGCCCCTTGGAACTAAAGTAACAGACAGTTGTGAGCTGCCATATGGGCACTGAGAATTGATCCCAAGTCTTCTGGAAGAGCAGCCAGTGCTCTTAACTGCAGAGCCATCTCTCCGGCCGCTAAGCTTCCTGTCTTTGTGGGCCTGCCTATTATTGAGATGTGTAGCTTTCGTGTTAGGCATCTTTGACAGTATAATGCTCTCATGGATCATCTCTGCAATAGCATGAGTTAGAATCCCACTCCTTTGCAGTGCTGAATTTCACTGTAGAGAGCCTCCATATTTCCTTCCTCCACTCCTAAGTGGTCGGGCATTGGTACTGTTTTCACCTTCTGACTATTGTGAATGCAGTTGTTGTAAACATTTGTAAGTGCATGTGTGTTTCATTGTCTTAGGAGATACCTAGGAGTGGAATGGCTAAATCATATGGCAATTCTATGTTTAACCTGTTTGACATTTTATTTATTTACATTACTCAGATTTCAAAAGATTCTCTGGTGTTGATTTGAGAAGAGTGTCTCATCTCTATGAGTGTGTCATCTAATAAATCATTGCTATAGCAAGCATGGTATTTATATCTAGTGAATGGATTGCTTTTAATGAGGTAGATAGTTGAAGGAATTGTACCTGGCACACAATAGACAACAGTTTAATATTTGCTGGAAGTAGGATTTTCCAACAAGAAAAGTAGCACAAGTGAATTCACAGTGATGCTGTAAGGAGAAGAGGACAGAAGACTGGAAGATGGAAGACAAGGCCAAGCTGATTCCTGTCTGCTGGGCTGTGACAGATGAAGACTCTGCTCTTCATCCCGATGCTTTCTCTCCTACGTGTCCTAAATAACAAAGCTACCAAAGCATCAGCCAATAACCATCTCATAGAGAATAAAGTAACATAAAAACCTTTCATATACCATGCATTTTTCATAGCCACACCCACCATGATTAGAGATACAGGAAAGAGATGTCACCATCTTTTTATCAATCTCTGTACATATTCAGATAATTCAGAACGCAGCCCATAACAATGACGTACTTGGCCCGATAGTAGGTACCATTTAGGCATGCTTGTACTTCAAAACCCAATTCAGTGATTTAAATTTCAAATTCCATGAGG